CATTAAAATGAGTTTATATCTTAAAAAATGTCAACAATTAAGAAATTACAAGGTCATTTCTTAATTATTGACATTTTTTAAGATATAAGCTCATCCCGATGTTACACTCATCGAGACCTTTCATTTGAGTACCCACATGACATTTTTCATATATTTTATATATATATATATATATATATGGTATTTGTGAAATATATAAAATATATCAAAAAATGATGTGGGTACTCAAATGAAAAGTCTCGATGAGTGTAATGTCAAGGTGAGCTTATATCTTAAAAAATGTCAATATTTTACAAGATACAAGGTCATTTCTTAATTATGTATCTAGAAATAGAGCATTTTCGAATGTAACTTAAATACGTATCATCATAAATTAATTATTGGTGAGAATGATATGAAACCATGAAAAGGTAAATAAAACATTATTATTATTATTATTATTTACAGATCCATCGCATCTACCGTTCATCTGGTGCAAGCATGTCAAAAGCTCAACAGGAATTTACAACAACATTTTTAAGAAACGAACACGTCCAATCGGCTGCTGGTAATGTTGCTGCAAGTGCGGTTCGCGCACAAATGCAAGCAAATACAAACCAACCGCGTTATTAAAATATAATTTAACATTGCATACTTCAATTATCTGTAATTAATAATCCATTCAAAAATTTAGCCTTTTACAAGCAACTAAATCCAAATAATAGTTATCTTTTTAAATGTCTATTATTTTTTATGAGAACTCTACTTAAAAATTTTCAATCATTATCAAATATCACCTTTAATTTTTTAATCAATCATTGTTTCAATAAATATTCTTTTGAGGCAATAGAACTTTTTAGCTATATTTTATAAGTTAATTGTTTAGTTAATAATCAAACGGTTATATATTAATTAATTAATTAATTGATAATAAATATTAAGTATAAAGAGTTTAAAAATATATTAAGTGAGTGTGTTGTCATGAACAATTATTATTATTATTGTTTTTCATTTCTTTCTTTTCAATAAAATATTTATTTTTAATCAATATTATTATATTTTTATTGTATGTTAAGTATTTAAGTCAATAAATATTAATATTATTTTTAAAAGACACTTTATGGAAAAAAAATTTCATGCCCGAAAATAAATTTTTAAGTTTTGTTGGAGAATATTTACAATCATATTAATTAAAAATAATCACTTAGTATTATTAAGTACTCACAAATTAAAGACTTTTTGGTGGAGTCAAATATTCTGTATTTAATAATTTTAATACTGCGTCAGCTGAAAAAAAAATTCATTGTAATTTAATCAATAATATTAATTAAGTACTGGGGCCAAAATATTTAATTTCAAAATAAAAATTAATAATTAATCGAGTCAAATTTTTGCATTACGGTAAAAATATTGGTCGTATAAAAAAATTTTTTTAAAATTCAATTTCATTAAAAAAATGTCTTATAATTTTTTCTTAAGACCAATAAAAAAGCTTCAATTTTAAAATTAAGATTATTATAAATTATAGTCAGAGAATTTAAATTAAAAATTTTCAACTATTAAACTTGACAAGGAAAATCTATAAAATTAACTTACCCTCTTCTTCAAAAGCCGCTTGCGGATCTTCAGGAAACGGACAACCAGAGTCCATTTTCATCGGTACAACTCCCACAAGTTGGGCAGCAACAATTGCATCCTGAACATCAACAGTTTTTTTGTACATCAGTCTCGCGTGTCCTTCTGCTAACCTGATATAAAAATCTTAAATATTATTAACAAAAAAAAAATTCTAGACATAAAATAAATTAAAAAATTATTACTACCTGAGAAGACTATCAAAAAGTCTAACAGTTGTCCTGTCTTCATATCTGCTTGCATCAGACCTCAAATATAAAAACACAGCCCTCAATATCTGATCTGCTTCTGGAGATATCACAGGATCGAATGAATGAACGTATGCAAAATATTCTCTCAGACTTTCATTCTTCCACAAGTTTTCCGATTTTAATAGAACCATTGGATTTTTTGCACTTCTATAAAATCATTAAAAAAAATTATTTTTACAAATAGGACCGAATTTTTTGTCGCTAAATATTGGTCCTATAGAAGAATAATTTAAACAAAAGTTGCTAAAAATTTAATTTTATAAAAAAAAGGTTTCTTATGATATTAAAAAAAAAAAATCTAATATTTTCACTGTAATTTTAAAATTAAGATTCATAATTAAAGATTCAAATTTTGTTTTGTGATAATTATCAATCTTACTTTTAAAATTGGAATTAAATTATTGATTTTAAGAAAAAAATATGAAAGAAATTTTTAGGTAGATTTCTTTAGAAAAATAAAAACCTTTTAGTTGAATTAATTTCGTCTTCACATTTTCTGTCAACAATATGCCCAGTGGTCAATTCATCCCAATCTTTGTTATTATTATCCTGAAGATAGAGAATAATATCAAAACGCGACAGCAAAGGGCCACCAATGCGAGTCTTGACTTCTTCATCTGGGACAATTTTTCCACCAACAGGATTCATGGCTGCCACAAGCGAGCAACGAGTGTTTAAAGTGCTAACAAGTCCACCCTTGGCTATAGATATTGTCTGCTGCTCCATCGCCTCGTGCATTGAAGCTCGATCATTTGCGCTCATCGTGGAGAACTCGTCCACACAGCAGACTCCTTTATCAGCGAGTACCAGCGCACCGGCTTCCAAGTGCCATCCGTCGGAATCTTTCACCGCTGCTGCTGTCAATCCAGCAGCTGTTGTGCCTATTCCCGTGGTAGAAACTGATCTCGTGGCTAATTTAGCTGCTGCACGTAGGATTTGAGATTTACCCGTTCCAGGGTCGCCGATCATCAGAAGGTGTGGTTCACCACGTATTCTTACGCCTGGAAATATTATTTGTATTAATCTAATTTTAATAATTTAATAATTTGTATAGATATTTAAAATACCTGTTTGATTTAGCCGAGGAACACCACCAGCTAAAATAATTGCCAGTGATAATTTTACAGTGAACATTCCATAGAGCTTTAAGAAAAAATTAATGAAATAATATTTAAATTAATAACTAAATAATAATACTTACTTGAGGGCAAATAGATGCTAAAATTTTATTCCGACCAACTAAAGGATCGTTTTCATAAATTTTCCAATAATTGTCAAAAATTTCTCTTACTTCAGCCTGTTTGTAATCTGAATTTATAACTTTGTGGAGTACGTTAACATTATTTGCGATCATAATTGTAGTGTGTTCCATTCTTCTGCCTTCCTCAAGCTGGCCCCATCTTCTTGTGATAACACCACTAAAATAAAAACAAATCCAATTTATTTTTAATAATTTTTTATTTTTAGATCCAAGATTTTTGCCGAAAATATTAGTATTGTAAAAAAAATTGTGGAAAATTTAATTTTCTACCAGAAATTTTTTTTATAATTTTTTTATACGACTAACATTGTCACCGTAATGCCTTGATTAATATTTATATTAAATTATTTAAATTTTCTCTAATTATAAAAATGTTAATTTTGAAATTGCGACTTTTTTTATTAGTCTTAAGAAAATTTTTTATGTGACCTATATTTCCGCCGTAATTGTAAAAATTTGACACCATAAATTATTAATTTTTATTTTGAAATTAAGGCAAAAATCCTAGCTCTAATTATTTTATTTTTATCATTCAAGGAGATTTTTACTTGCATTACTTTTCATTGTTACACAAAAAAAAAAAAAAAAAAAAAATGTATTATATTCTACAAAATTATAAATATCAAATGCTTACCTTATTTCAACATCATCACCAGGTTTACACTTATCAATTAAATCATCAAGCAACACCACTTGCATGCCAACATTGAACGAGCTTTCAATTTCACCCTTAGATTGCTCTTGAATTTTTACCTCCTGGTAGTCATAGACGTCTTCTAGGTCTGGACTGATTACAGGTATCAAACTTTTACTGTAACACGATTCGCACTCTCCGTTGTTAGTTGAATATGACATTGTCTCCCAATTAAGCTGCGATGCAATCATACATTTACAAGTAAAATTTTATTTTTATTTTTTTGCAATAATTCTTTCATCAAACAAAAATTCTAAAAATTTTTTACTGTCAGCCAGCTTAATTTTTATCCAAGTATTTTAAAATTTCATGAGTTTAGTTTAAAAATATAAGCAGATTACCTGATAAGTAGTAACATAGCTGCATTTTTTGCACGAATATCGCTTGCATTTGGTCAACATAGTGGGCTGGGATATTCTGACAGTTATACCAGTGATTGACACCAACTGTCCATCAGTCTCGTCGTTTATTTTCCAGGGTGCTCCGGTTATCCTGATGTGCACTTTGCGCTTAAGTCGAAGTTCTTCTTGTGGAATTTCATCGTCGTTCATAATAACTTTTTGAGCTGCGATTGCGGACTGGTCACACAGAGGCAAGAATTTTTTTGGCCTTTTGGTTATTTTTTCAACCATTTCCAAGTCGTCGACATACAGTTTCGCCACGCTGAAATTTATTTATTTATTTATTTTATTAATTAAATGTTATTTAAAAATAAATAAATAAATTACTACATACTTAACATAAATGGAATAATGTCGCGATACATCAGGCGCTTTAAGTATTTCCAACAAATCACTATAATTATTTTTTATAAGATAATCTTTCAACATTTTAAACAAAACTATTATAAAAAAAAATTATTTATTAATTAAAAACTAAAAATAAAAAAAAAAACTCTTATAAATTTTTATGGTTATGTTTATGTTTTGGTTAAAGCATGTGTAAAACTGATTCGTCAAATTTAAAGATATTTAAACTTGCGCGGAGTGTCATTGCGCATGCGCGGTTGTTTAGCGCATGCGCAAAAGTTTTTTCCTAAGCAAAAATAAAAAAATAACGGCTGACGGAATTATAACGTGACAAACAACAGCCGGGGTATTATTGTGAAGTTAACAATTATTTTTTTTGAGTGATAATATTAACAATTGAGAAAATAAACAATTAATAAAGTGATGTTGAATAGTGAAAGTGATAAAAAGTGAATTCTATGCTGTTATTTCTGTTTGCTGTCAATGTGAGTGTTTAAATCATTTTTTAATTCTTAAAATAAAATATTTATTAATTTATAATATGTACTGAAGTTAGCTGACAACTGTCAATTTTTTTTTTTAATTTTTATAACAATCTATTACAATAAAAATTAATGATATTAAAGTTAGCCGACATTCAACAATTTTTAATTTTTTTTATTAATTAAATTAAGACTAAAATAATATTCTTAAAAAATTGCACGTGTAATTTTTCAAAATTTCTGTACGTTAAATTTTTTCTTTTAATTTTTTTAAAAATGATTTTTCAATAAAAAAAAAATTATTATTGAAAATTAAGTTAGTCAACTTTTAGAATTTTTTTTTTATTGAAAAAATAATTTTAAAAAATAAAAAAAAAATTTTTACTTGTTAAAAACTTTAAAAACTGTAAGTGTAATTTTTAAAAAATATTTATTTTGTTCTAATTTAATTATTATTAATTAAAAAAAATCAAAAAATTAAAATCGTTGTGCTAACTTTAGTATTGTTCTATTACAATTGATTTGCAATAAATATTTTAAAAAATATCCAATGTCTGCTAATTTAAGTACGCTATAAAACTATAAATATGTATAATTATTTAACATTTAGAGTTCGATACAAGTTTTCTCAGGTGATTTCGATTCCCTCTAAAACGCTTTCATGTCCGCGCATCCATTGTTGGATATTAAATAACAGTCGGTAGTAAAGAGCACTATTAAAAGTTTCTTTTTTACCATCGCTTAAGACATCTCACTGGAAAAAAACTTTTTCAGTGACTGATACTGCAATTTTTAAATATTTCAATCAACGATCAAAACAAAAGACAATTGTTGAGTAGAAAATTTTTATTTTTAATAAAATTAATCTAATTTTTGCAATCAATTGCAAAATCAACCCATCCATAACATCTCACACTCTGAAAATTAAAAAATAAATTTAAAATATAGAACTTTCCATTAACTTTTATCAGGCAGCTTCATTTTATTTACTAACAAAGAGAATAGTAATTAAATAAAAAAAACTATAATTAAAAATCAGGAATTTTTCAAAGTTCAAAACTCGTTTCAATTAAAATATTTTTTTCTATTATAAATAATCATTATAAAAAAAACTTTTCAACATTTCTAAATCACACTTTTAATTCTGTATTAAAATTTTTTTATATTTATTTTATTATTTATATTATATTAATATTAAAATTTATATGAAAACATATAATAAAACAGCACTAAATGAGCATGAAAATACTGTTAATTAATTAATGAATGAATTGTAGTCATGAACTAGTAAATTATAATAAAAATTGAAAACTTTTGACACAAATTTTGTCTTTCGTGATAAAAAAAAATCCAACAAACAATTAAAAAAAACTTACAAATTTTCATTTAAATCTATCTATCCATACATAACACAAACATATAATACAGTGAATATAAATTCGGTAGAATTTTAAATAACTTGTCATCTGCAGATGCGCGAGCGTTAGAGGACTCATGTGGCGACACATACTTTTGTTATTATATAGAACATATCCTGAAAATTTAATACATATATACACGTGCTTATATTTATATACATTAATAACCCCTGTGTACAATAAGCATGATATAAAAGCTGTTAAAAAAACAACAATATTACCTTCAAAATCCCAAATTTTGTTACTACAACTTATGAACAATCAGCTTAGAATCTGAAGACTTTACAATATATAAAATAATATTATACTAGCAACCTTGCAGTCACTATGTGATTGCCGAGGCTTGTGAACTATAAATAAACAAAATTTTGCTTCATTGAATAATTATTTTTGTTAAATTGCACTGTACTTTTTTAACTATTGACATTTTTAAAGATATAAGTTCATCCCGATGTTACACTCACAATACCTCGCGAGATACAATGTCATTTCTTAATTACGTATCTAGAGATCGAGTATTTTCGAATGCAGCCTAAATACTTATCATCATAAATTGACTATTGGTGAGAATGATATGAAACCTTGACAAAGCACAAATTAAAATCAAGACCTTTGCAATGACACTAAATTTCACTAAAAAAAAACCCATTTTATCATATAAATACACTGGCCACAAAATTTTGCTTATTTTCTTAATAATATAGATTAATGTGAGTAGTATAAGATTTTTATATTATCCATTTATTTACTCTAATTACGTGAAGCAAAACTGTATACCTTGGCATTAAAATTCAAAAAATAAATAAATACAACGAAAAAATCGATCGAAAAGCTAACTCTGTCCGTTAAATTCAAATAATTGTTATCAGGAAAATATATCAGTTGTAACAGGTGTCACTGATGACAGTTATTAATTTTTAAAACGATTTTAATCCGATATTTATTATTTTTTCCGTGACCAAAAAAAACTCCAATTAATCTGACACTCGCCTTACACCCGCGTCTCATATTCGTCGTTTACATAAATTAATTAAATTTCCATCTGAAAAATTAATTAAACCTTCAGTTTATGGACGGCGGACCATTTTTTATGGTTTCACATGCATAACCGTCTTGTATCGCACATCGTGCAGAATAAAAACATAGAAGCCAAACGAGAATTCGCCCATATGTATAAGATCGATATTCTCGTCATCTCTAGCCTTTATTATACATTATTAAATATCAAATATTGTACGATAGCTAAAGGGTAAATGACAAGGATATAACAAGGGATTTTCGAAATTCTTTAGTATAGTTCGCTAAGAAATCTCCCAATCGATTGTATGCAAGGCTTAGTTTCATCTACACGGCTACCATATCATATATCGATAAGGATATTATATACCATACTATACTTACGTGTATATATAGGATAGTAATACCTTTGTGTGGGTACCGTCGCGCTCCATCGTGTCCAAACAAGAATTTCTCGTCGTTATACTGACTTAATAATACACCGGGCTCCAATAAATCACTCGATACGTAATTTAATCTAGCCTAAAGCCTTAGTAAAATAAAAATTAATTTTTTCGGCTGCGTCGTTTTTACTTTAAATTTCTCATCGATCACTCTTTTCATTCGGTATGATCTTTGATTATTCCCTGAAAAAATAAAAGGAATAAACATGATTCTTCATATGCTAACCGTCCATTTTAATTAGCACTGATGATTTAAAATGATTTTAAATGTTTCCCATACTAATACATTTGCTTAATAAGGGTTTTATTTGCATCGGATGTTTGTTTTAGATTGTAATTATTAAAGATTTTATAAAAATTACATTGTAGAATGTAATATTTACATTGAAAGCTCTGAAAATTAAATTGAAAAATAGAATTTAGAAAAATGTTATTTCAAATTGTAATTTTTCTAGTTTTAATTACGACGGGACCGATTTTACATTTTATACTGTAATTATTCCTGTTTTCTTTTTTCCGTGTACACTGTCGAAAATTGAGATTGAATATTCACTTCTATCACTCAGAGTACAGGAATAAAGAAATCAAACACTGGCCGATCTGAGTTTTCAGACTAATTTTATTAGCTGAAACAAATTTTAAATTCTGAATTATTACACTGAACAAAAAAATAACTTGATCAAAGGAGAAAGAATCGATAACGAAAAATTCTTGAATTAATAAAAATTTAACAGTTAAAATTTTTTTTACTTAAATTTATAAGCTCTTCAAAGTGAGTTTTTTGGTTCAAGATTTTTTCTTTTAAATCAAGCTATTTTTTGTAGTGTAACACACTTGAAAAAATTTATTTTAAATTTCAATTTGTACATGATTATTAAATTTTTTCAAAAAAATTAGAATTTAAAACATTGAACCAAATTTTGATTATAAATCTTAACATAAAATATAAAAAACTATTAAAATTACTGTTTAAATAAATAAAATTAATTACTTTAATATTAATTAAATTAACTGATTTAGCAATTTTTAGCATTTCTCAACAAATAAAGTATTATAGAGAAAATTTATCAAAATATGTTACTTGTAGAAATTAAACAAACATATTGATGCAATTTTTAAAAAGTATCAAAATTTATTTTTCACGTCAAACCAAGAAAAAAATTTGTATTAATTTTTTTTATTTCTAATTTCAAATTTATTCTTTTACAAAAAGAAAGAAATTTTTATTCAACAATAAATAATTAATTTGATTCCAGAGGGATTAAAAATTATCCTCTGCATTAACCCCGCGAGTATTTGACATAGTATTGATATTCTCTTATAGATAACTTATTGGAATTATTGTTGAATGCAGAATGGCAATGTAGCTGGATGTATTGTATGCAACCGTATGTCGTTAACCGATCCGCTAAGTAATTTAGCGATAAGATGATGATAGTTATGTTTCGAAGGGGAGCAGTACAGAGAATAAACGATGGAATGGGACATCCTATCATTATCCAATGATCTGTGACTTTGGTAACAGGCTTTGTGTGATACATTGACGTTTGTGTGGGATTGCAAATATGTTTGACGTACACTTGGCGCGAGTCATTGCCATACTGGGTCTTTGGGTTATTTTGAAGTATGATTTGTTATTAATTACGGAGAAAATAAATTTACTCGTGCATTAATATTCATTTCAAGAAATTAATTTTTAAATGTGTTACTAAGAGTTTGAT